ACCATTGAGGTTTTCAGGCCCTGAGAGCAGCGTGGACCTTCCTGAGTGTGGAGGAGATTCAAGGGCCAAAAGTGTTAATTTACCAAAATTTTGGATTCCTGATTTGAGTTTTTCCAAAGTTGATATCAGTACCCCTAAAGTTTACCAGGATGCAAACTTACTGAAAGATGACGTCACTCTTACTAAGTATCACATGAGTATTCAAGAACCCAAAGTGATATCTGGGTCTGCTGTTAGTGATGTAAGCATTCCAGAGACAGATATTAAAGTTGCAATGACAGAAAGTTCCACTGAGCTGAAGAGTCCAGAAATAGTTGCTAAAATACCATCAGCTGACATTGCTATAGATAGAGGAGAAATGAAGCTTGAAGGTTTCGAAGGGAAGACTAAAATGCCTAAATTCCAAAAAATGAAGTTTGGAATTTCACTGCCTAAGGGAGAAATTCCAGAGAGTGAGGTCAGCTTACCCCAAATGGAAGCTGACATTCCCAAGCCAAAAGCGATAGCTGAAGTTACTGAGATTGCTTTTGAAACTTCATCTTTAGATATTAAATCTGAAGACTCTGATGCAGGAACAGACGTGTCAGGCTTAAAAATGCAACTGCCATCACTCAAAATGCCTCAAATACCTAAAGCTGACGGAGCACCAAAGGTGGACATCAGCCTCCCATCAGTTGATGTTACCATGCCAACAACAAAGGTAGACATTCGAGGCCCAGATTTAGAAAGTAAAGTGGTAAAGACTGAGAGTGAAATAAAATCTGGAGAAAAAGACATTGAAGGGAAAGAAAGCAAGTTCAAAATGCCAAAATTCAAACTCCCATCATTTAGTTGGTCACCAAAGAAAGAAGCAGTTGTTACATGTGATACTGAAGCAACCCTTGAGGAGCCTACTTTGGCCTCTTCTTTAGGAGAAACAGAAGCTGAACTAACATTAACTGTAGCTGAGGTTCAGTGCCCAAGTGTGGATCTCGAAAGTGATATGCCTATAGGAAAAGATGGTGAGAAGGGCAAAACTAAAAAGCCTCAGTTCAGCATGCCAAAGATATCACTTCCTAAAATGAAGGGTCACAAAGCACAGGTCTCTCTGCCAAAATTGGAAAGTGATGTTAGTGGTCCTAAACCAGAAAATGAAGGAGATGTTTCAGTGAAGAGATCAGAGAAAGGAAGCAGTGGAGATGGAGAAGGAATAGCCATAAAAATGCCAAAGGTTAAGATCTCTACTTCAGAATTTTCAAAACCAGAAATCAAAGCTCCCAAAATGGATATGGACGTTAGCTTACCTACGGTTGATGTCATACTTCCTACATATGATGGGACTATTCAACAAGCTGACTTGAAATTGAGGTCTGCTGGTGCTGATGTCAGCCTGTCAGCCCCAGCTATTAAGATTCCAACATCAGAAGGGTCCATAGAGTTGCAAAGTCCAGAAACAGGAGTTGAAGGAATATCAGCTGGAATTGCTGTGGATGGAGCAGAGATGAAAGTTGAAGGTCTTGAAGGGAAGATTAAAATGCCCAAATTCCAAAAGCCAAAGTTTGGAATTTCACGTCCTAAAGGGAAAGTGCCAGAGAGCGAGATCAGCTTACCCAAAATGGAAGCTGATGTTCCCCAGCTAAAAGCGATGACAGATATTGTTGACATTGCTGTGGAAGCACCAACAGTAGAAGTTGAATCTGCCATCCCTAATGCAGAAAGAGAGTCTTCAGGCTGGAAAATCAAAATGCCCAAAATACCTGAAGCTGATATTAAGACACCCAAAGTTGACATTAACCTCCAATCCAACGTTTCTGTTCCAGTGACAGAGATTGGCATTCAAGATTCAAATACGGCATCTAAAGCAACAATGTTTGAGGGAGAAATAAAACCTGGAGATACAGATATGGAAGGGAAAGAAGGACATTTCAAGTTGCCAAAATTCAAATTGCCATCATTTAGTTGGTCACCAAAAAAAGAAGCAAGCATTAAAGCTGATTTTGAAGCACCTCTGGAAGAGCCTAAAATTACTGTGTCATCAGGCAAAACAGACACAAAACTAGCAGAAACTGTAAATGAGGAACAGGGTCCAAGCATGGATCTTGATATTGAAATATCTACAGGAAAAGAAGAACAAAAAAGCCAAATTAAAAAGCCTCAATTTACCATGCCTAAAATTTCATTCTCCAAAATTAAGGTTCCTAAATCTCAGGTGAATCTGCCAAAAGTGGAAGCTGATGTTACTGTTCCTAAACCAGAAAGAGATGGAGAAGACTTAGTGCAGATACCTGATATAGAAAGCAGTCATACCAAAAGCATAGAAGAGGGAGCACAAATAAGCATAAAAATGCCAAAAGTTCAGATTCCTACTCTGGAATTTTCCAAACCAGAAATCAAAGTTCCCAAATCAGACATGGACATTAGCCTACCTAAGGTTGATGCCACCTTTCCTACATATGATGTGAGTCTTCAACAAGCTGACCTCAAATTAGGGTCTGCTGGTGATGATGTCAGCTTGTCCCCGGGTATTAAATTTCCCACAGCAGAAGCTTCCATTGAGCTGAAGGGTCCAGAAACAGGAATTGAAGGACCATTGACGGTGGATGGAGCAGAAGTGAAAGTTGAAGGTCTTGAAGGGAAGATGAAAATGCCTAAATTCCAAAAGCCAAAGTTTGGAATTTCACTTCCAAAAGGAAAAAGACCAGAAAGTGAGATCAGCTTACCCAAAATGGAAGCTGGAGTTCCCCAGCTTACAATGACAACAGATATTGCTGACATTGCTGTGGAAGCTCCAATACTAGAAATTAAATCTGATGTCTCTGATGCAGAAATAGAGGTTTCAGCTGGGAAAATGAAAATGCCTCAAGTTTCTATCACTGACATTAAAGCTCCAAAGATGGATGTTAGTCTCCCATCAGTTTCTGTTTCAACCACAGAGGTGGCCATTCAAAGCCCTGAGGTGGAGGATATGAAAATGCAAGGAGAACATGAAACGAAGTCTGGAGAAATTCAGACTGAAGAACATCAGGGCTGGTTTAAAATGCCAAAATTCAGAATGCCAACATTTGGTCGGTCATCTTCTAAGGAAAAAAGAGGTGACATTGATAGTGAAGGGAGCCTGGAAAAGCCTCAAGTAAGTGCTCCTTCTGCTGAAATGCAAACTGAAATAGAAGCTCCTGAATATGCAACATCATTGCCACATGTGGACACTGAATCTGCTGCTGGAAAGGATGTTTTGGAAGGTAAAATCAAATCTGCTAAAGCAGAGATTCCAAAAGTGGGAGTTTCTCTCCACAAAGGTAAAAGTTCTGATGTTACCTCATCAAAGTTTGAAGCAGAAGTTTCACTACCTCCAGAAAAAGCAGTTATTAAAGTGAGCATTCCTGAAACAGAAACTTATGCTGATGTAGTTAAACGCGGTGCTGAAGGACAACAATTGAAAACACATACTCCAAAAGTCATGATACCTAAGGCAGAACTCTCTACATCAGAAATTAGTGCTTCAAAAACTGGGGTGGACATCAGCTTACCAAAAGCTGACATTACACTCCCTAAATGTGACCTGACCCTTCAAGAACAAAAAGCCAAATTAGAGTGTGCAGAGATTCCAACAGCAGAACATTCCATTGAGCTGAAAAGTCCAGAAATAGGAGCCAAAGCACCATCTGTTGAAATTGCTTTGGATGGAACACAGAAGAAATTAGATGCCCTCCCAAAAGTAGAGCTGGACATTCTACACGCAGGTGCAGGAGTTAAAACTGAAAAGCTAGGGAGTGTAATAAAATCTACAGGAAAGGATGTTCAAGGAAGAGAAAGTAAATTAAAAATGCCAAAATTCAGTGTACCCTCATTTGGATGGCCTGCCACAAAGGGAACAGGAGATGTTGCTGATGTTAAAACCAACCTTGAAGAGACCAAGATAGGTGCTCCGGGAATTAAAATGGATACTGAAATAAGTGTTGTAGACCATGAAATAGAGTTTCCAGCTGAAAGTGTTGAAAAGGATATTTCTGCAGGAGTCAGAGTGAAAGTGGAAGATGGAGATGAAGCAAGCAAAATGAAAACATCTAAATTTAAGATGCCAAAGTTTGGAGTGTTACATTCAAAAGCAAAGGGTTCTGAAGTTGATGTCTTTCTCCCAAAGTTAGAGGCTGATGTTTCACTGCCTAAAACTGAACTAGGCATAGTAGAAATCCAGTTTAAAAAAGCAGATGGCTCCATTGACCTGCAAAGTCCAAGTTTAGACCTTATGGAATCATCAACCAGGATTTCAAAGGACAAGCCAGACAAACAAAGTGAAAGTGTAGAGGTAAATATTAAAATTCCCAAGTTAAAAATACCAGCGTTCACTTACAATGCACCCACAGTTGAAACTGACGTTTCAACATCAAAAGTGGCAACAGACTTGAAAGGTGCTGGTACTGACATTGAAACACCAAAACTGGAAGTAAGCACTAGGATCCCTAAAGAAAGACCAGAGTTTGCAGGTGGTAATATCCAAACACCATCAGTCAAAATTCCAACATTGGCTGAACGTGACATTAAAACCCCACAGGTATACGTTAAGGTCCCAGACTCTTCGGTTTCAAAAGCAGCACTACAGATTCAGGGACTAGTTGCAGAGAGTAAAGAAATAAAAACACAAGGTGAAGCTGAATCTGGACATGTTGATATCGAAACGCATGAGACTTATTCCTCTCAGATAGTGAAAGAATCTGAGATTCCTTCATCAGAAATTAAAACTGCTAGTTTTGGATTTTCACTTCTCAAAGTGAAGATACCTGAGTCACATGTTAAACTAGACATGCCAGTCAAACTGCAGTCTTATACAGAATATAAACATGAGGTGTCTGAGAGTGAAGTTCACCAACCTAAACTTTCTGATGAAAATTTAGGGGTAGCAATACAAAAGACTGGCACTGCTGAGTTTAAATTATCTGGCAAACCACAAAGTGAAACTGATGAATCTAATGATGTCGTATCTTCCAGTGTTAGTTTGCCAAAATTGAAAACATTTACAGTTGAAGTACAGCCTTCCAGTAAACTTGGAGACACTCAATCTGATAAGCAACCAGAGGAAATAGCTGTATCTCCTCTTTCTAAAGATGATGAAATAGCTAAAATACCAGAAGATGAAGAAAAAGATATGAAGGATCAAAAAGAAAAAACTGACAGTAAAAGATCTTCTGGCAGATTCAAATTTTGGCTTCCAAGTATTGGGTTTTCTTCCTCTGTTGATGACACAGGCTCAGATTCGAAACCTGAAGTCCAAAAATCAATTCCAGAAGAAACCCAACCTGTTGACTCTTCTGTGTCAGATACTGACTCTTCTCAACAGACTGAAAAAACTGGATGGTTTAGATTTCCCAAATTAGGCTTCTCATCCCCATCAAAAAAGGCTAAGAACGTTGACAAAGAAGAAGAGACAAATCTAAAAGAAATGAAAACTTCAGATGATGAAAGTCCATCAGAGAAACCTGAAACATTTTTTGATGCAGAAGAAAGCTTATCACCTAAAGAAGAAACAATTACGGGTGAAGAAAATGAAACTACAGGGACCTCATCTAATGTCCAAGTTTCTGGTGCTATAGTTACATCATCAGCAAGAACTGAATTAATTTTGTTGGAGAGGGAAAGAGCTAGTCAGCAAAGTATTCTTGAAAAGACCACCAAATGAGGTTTTTTTCTGATCTAAATGTATATGGAAAATCTGAAGGTAGAACAAACTAAGAGAAAAACATATGCAGAAAAATGCTGTCTTTCCAAAGAGTTTTCCAGAAGAAATGAAAGTGGAACAGAACTTAAAACTGATATTTATGAAAACAGTCTATGGATCATTCTTCACTACACTGGCATTTGCAAGCACGTGAACATACTGTAGGTCCTAATGAAACACTTGTTTCATGAGATGTACCCAAGAAGAAACACACAACTACTGATGAAAAGGAGGCATTCATACTTTTAACAAAGTCTGATAAAATTCTCCTAACCATGCAAAATAAAGTGTTGAATGGAGCAAAGATAGTGAAAAGATTTTATTAAATATAATTCTCTAAAACATGCCAATTGTGTTTAGTTATAGATTATTTGCAGAAAGGAGTATAAAGCTAGTGCTATGAGGACTAGAAATATACATAACTGTTTAGATTTTATTTTATTAAATATATTTCTGCCTTGATGTTGCTTTCTTATGAAAAATATATTTTCTTTATCTTAGATAGAGCAATATTTGTATTCCATGATCATTTTAAAATGTAGAACAAACAGAAATAATACTGTAGATATGACAATCCTTCCCCCCCCCCCCCAGTTAGTAGGGTGGATAATATTTAGCCTTAAAAAAAAATAAAAACTTCAGCAAATGTTCCAGATTCCTGAAAAATATATACTGCTGATTCACATATTCAAAATACAAAAATAAAATATGGCAACTGAGAAGAAGAATAAAAAAAAATTGGGGTAAGAAAGTTCATTATGTAAATATTTATCAGAATAGTTAATGCATAGAATGGGGCATATGTGAGAGGAATCACTGGAAAGGTTTTCCAGAGAAATAAGATGTAAATAGTTATTTACCTTTTGTTTATATCAATGCTTCTCTTAAGTACACGACCAAAATGGTAGTACCATATATGTTAGCCATCACTGTACATGTATTACTAGAATGTTGAATGTATTCTCAATTCACAGTACAGTCACTGTATTGATAATAAATGCAGTAACATTATTATTGTGATAATTTTTTGATTATGAAAACTACAATACAAAGTAGCATGGACATTGCTTGAAAGGTTGATGTAGCTGCAACTTCAGTTAGAGGGGGGAGAACTTTTTTTAAGAGACATTGGTACTGGCAAATGACTAATCACCATTGTAATTCTGCATATTGTATTTTCACATATTCACTCACACTTCTTTATCCCAGTTTCTTTATATTATATTTTTGTTCCCACCTATTCAATTTAGTTGGGGCTAAGCAAATGCAGCAGAAGAAAAAACTGGAATGTTACTAGAGTATATTTCATGAGTCCCAAATCATATCTTGCTAAATTAACATATTCAAGCTCTCAACTGTCCCAAAGGAGAATTTCACGCAAACTGCGGTCACCAATACAAAGTCCATCATTTCTCAACAGTTTCCACACAGAGGTACTGGACAACCCATATTATTTCAGGCCAAGCTGGACCCCCTTGGGGCTGCTCTAAGTTGTGTCTGGCTGCTCACACAGCCCCAAGGGGCCATTCAAGCTGCTTTCTTTAGTGGTGCCTGGCTGATGGAATGGCCGTAGGCAGGGGCGCACAGCTTAGAACAGAGCTAAGGCAGAGTAGCATGGACAGACCAGAGAATCAATAATGATGACCACTGTGATGCTGGAAAAAAAGGACATCCTGCTTTACAGCAATTCAAATAGAAGCAGACAATGATCTCAAGGCTTATTTCAAGCTCATAGAGCATTAAAGTTAACAATAAATACATTAAAAATACTCCCAGTGTTGTATGCACTCTCTTAGCCCCACAAAATGAAACGCTCTAAGCAGCCCCCATGGGAATTGAATACCACTACACATGTGAGACTGTTAGAAAGCAGAGAGAGGGAAATCCTGGAAAATGCGGCATGAGGCAGTACTGGCTGCATAGCAAAAATGAATATAGTGGATTGGAGAAGAACAGTTGTGAAGCGTAAAGAAAAGAAAAACCCACAGAGAGTCTCTCCAAAAAGTCTACTGTCAATACTGGGAAAATGGAGGATTTGAGAGAAAGCAGTTAGATTAATGTGACAGTCTAAAGGAGATTGAAAATGGGAATGGCCAGCATAAGAGTTCATTAAGGGGTGTACAGAAGAGGGGCACAAACCTAGAGAACACAAAGATACTGTCTAAACAATAAAGAGGCACAAGAGATTGTCCCTCGAGAAGGTTTGACAAGGCTCTTTCCGGAGCGCCAGAGCAGGGCCAAGCCGCTGGTGTGGCCCCAACCCAGCGCCCCGGCCGGAGCGGGGCCATGCTGTCTGTTGTGGCCCCGCCCCAGCGCCCTAGCTGGAGCAACAGAGTGGGGTCGAGCCACGTGGTGCGGCTCGCAGGCCGGCTTAAAACAGCTCGCAGGCCGGATCCAGCCCACGGGCCGTAGTTTGCCCACCCCTGCCATGGACCCAGATCTTCAGAGGAGCACTTCTCCTATTTAGGCAAGTTCAGTAAAAAAAAAAACCAGTGCCCGGAAGCTCCCATTCAGAAAGCTGGTGCTGAGCACTTTTGAAAACCTGGCCAATAGAGAATTCAGCATAGTTGCTCCTACATGCACCAGACCTGAATCTGCCCCATGGTCAAATGCAGTGGTTGGCTAGGGAAAACAAAACACATCGACAATGTGAGAGCATTTGAGAGTTAGAGCTCGGGGAAGCCAGTGAAGTCTGGTGTCTGCTTTGTGAGAAACTTATGACCCGGTGATAAATGAAAGGCAGTTTCAAGGGTTAAAACAAACAAAGAGAAAATAAGAGTGCGTGATTCAGCAAAAAATAAAAGAAAATGGAGGAATGCGAGCCCAAATATGAAATATACTACATAAAAAATAGAGCAGATGCATCTTCAACAGCCACTCTGCACTCCCCCAAATGTTAAATCCAGAAGAAACTGCATCCCTTCCCTTCCACATGTTAAAATTGGTGTATTCCAATTACACAGACAATGCCTTGGAAATATTTTAAAATAGAGTAAGAAACAGCAGTTAGAGGTGATGTATATGTCAATTTCAATAGTGACCATTCCAGCAAGAGGCAAAGAAAAGCATTTTTTCAGTATAGTGAAGATTTTCCCATAATTGTTAAGGTGACTGTTCTAAATATGCTCATATATAACTGCAGCAGTAACAGCAGCAAAAGTTGGAGTGGAACCTGGTTGAAGTAGTTTATCTGTTTGTCTCTTATTTTCTAAGGAATCTACATAAACTTTTACATGACACTAAAGCTTCCTCACATTTATTAAACCCAACTTGTATTTTAAAATAAAGTTGTACAGAAAAATGAGTGCCTTCAAGGTTACTCGATGGCTCAGAGGGTTAGGTAATGGGTTATGGCAGAGCTTCACCTTTAAGCATCTGGTTGGAAGTGACTGAAAAATGCACCATACAATGCTATTGGGTAGCTTATCTGAAATGAGTTAGGGGTCTCATTCTTGTGCAAGTGGAAGAGTGTTTACACAAAAACCACCATCATAAGCAGGGCCGGCTCTAGGTTTTTTGCCAACTCAAGCAAAAAAAATTTTGGCTGCCCCCACCTCAGCCCTGGGTTCTCCCCCACCCCACCTGCACCCTCTGCCGCCCCAGCTCTGGGCCTCCCCCCACCCGCACCCCATGCTGCCCCAGCTCTGGGCTTCCCCCTTTCCCCCCATCAGTGCCCCCACACACACACCCTGCCGCCCCAGCCCTGGGCTCTCCCTCCCCCCCCACCTGCACCCTTCTTCCGCCCCAGCCCTGGGTCACTGGTAACTTGCTCCCAGGGCGGGTCATTCAGCAGGAATTTTGGATGTGCACAGAACACAGACAGGATTGGTTCCCATATGGTTACAGAACTTCAGTAAAGTGGAACAATTTTCAGCTTGTGTGATTGGAGGATATGTGGATGCATATTATAATACTGTCCTCCATAAATGAGGAAAAGTTGAGGTGCCTTTATTATTCTTTTGTTCCACTCTTTGTTTCTATGGGGAATTTGCCAATGCAATATCACTGTCTTCCTTTTAAACAAATAAAACAAAAAAAACAACAACAAAAAAAAAAGGCAATGGCTGTTGAAAATAGCAATTCCAGTCCTAAAAACCACTGGGAAGCATTTCTTGCTCAATTTTATCCTACTTTTTCTACAGCAAGTTACAGTGGATCAGTATATTTGATTTGGGAGAAATGAAGTAACAGCTGCTCAAATTGAGCTTGAGCACTCCTGAATTTTGAGGTGTTCAAATCTGGAAGGCAGATGCTAGATTCCCTTTCTGAATATTAGCTAAATCTGGAAAGGAAAAGTCAATTTCTGCTTGCATGGCTCAGAAGTGGAAATCCTCCTACGTGCTGTATCTAAAGCTGCCCAGGTCCAGTAGAGCCTCCCCTCCCTTACTTTTCATTTTAAATTCTAGTGGGATCCACGTACCTCCCTTGCTAGGCTTCAGATAGAGAGGGGCACTGTCCATTTAGTCACCCCAATTCTTTCTTTGGGGGCTGCAAGGTGAGGTCACACCAGTATCCCTAATCCAGTCTGGGGATGTCTTCTGAAGGGGATCTCTGGACCAAAGCCTTCTACTCCTTGGGCATACTTGTTCCCCATTCACAGAGCCACCCCGCTCTAGCAGTGAGCTCTCCATTCACAGCAAGCTGCAGCATGAGGTTTCAGGTACCATACTCCCTCCACCTCCCTTTCCTGTTGATAGTGGCCAAGAGAATGCTGGGAAATGTAGTTCTTTCCCTGCTCCAGGGCTGGCTCTATAGGAAGGGAGCTAACCAAAGCCCCCTGTTGGTTCTCAGCTCCCAGGCTGGATCTCTGCCGGCTGCTGCCCCTGCAAATGGGCTGCCCCAAACACCTGCTTGCTTTGCTGCTGCCTAGAGCCACCCCTGATCATAAGTGGTCCCTTTGTTGGCATTCTCAGCAGAGGCCAAGGCCTGAATAGCAATGGAAAATGAACTACCTCACCTCTCCAGGGCTTTTTGGGGAAGCTCTCATTGTCTCTGCCCAGGCAGTACCTTGTCTGTGGATAGAGGACTTCAGTTTCCTGGGCTGTCTATCGGCACAAACACTAAAATACTGTTTTAAAGGACTTGAGCATTTTTCACTGGTGCCCTTTCAGCCTTGCTGAAAACTGGACTCATGTGTGACACTGACAGTACTGTCATCTAGCAGACCAGTTTCCCTCCTCATTTCACAATCAGAAAAGGTTGACTGCAGTTTAGCAAGGAAAGTGAACGTTTATGGACTCAGCACCATTACCTATAGGCTTATATGAAACTGCTATATAGTGTGTGTATGAGTGGGGGGGGACAGGGACGGGACGGGACAGACAGTGCTGGAATTTTGCCGAGTTCAAGGTGCTTTCATGTTGGGAGGTGAGGCTAAATGAAATTGTAGCCTTCTCAGGTTCTGACATGTGCATTCCAAGGCTGGGGACAATCCCAAAAGCTATAGATGAGTTAAATTCTTGATTCAACCCACACTTATTTGAACAACTAACCTTTCATCACATCTTCACTCTCTGTGCACCGCCGTTGTATCACCATTAAACATACTATAAATCCCTTATGAACAAAGCTCTGACAGCATAACCATAAACATTCAGCCTTCTGAGGGCAGAAGTATTATTCTCAAACACTGTCACCTTGTGGTACGTTGGAGCTACAACATAATCCTTTAAAACAACAAGGAGTCTGGTGGCACCTTAAAGACTAACAGATTTATTTGAAGAAGTGAGGGTTTTTACCCACAAAAGCTTATGCCCAAATAAATCTGTTAATCTTTAAGGTGCCACCGGACTCTTTGCTGTTTTTGTGGATACAGAATAACATGGCTACCTCCTGATACTGAATATAATCCTTTGGTACAGCTGCAGAATTAGCTTTGGGATGTATGGACAGCCATACAGGGCAAAATTCTGCAGTCACTTACACCTGTGCAATGCCTGTGATACGTAATGAAGGGTAGAGCTTAGCCCATAGATTCCACTGCAAAAATAGAACCTCAGCTGGAGTTAATT